GTGTTTTGGCTGTTTTCCTCTCTCTAACCCTGGCCTGCCCCTTCCTTTCCATCAGCCTTTGCTGCATATTTGATATGGAGAACATTGAAACACTTCAATAGGAATCAGAAACTCCTTCAGCTAAATACATGGCTGTGGGGGCATTAATCCTGGCATGAGCATGACCTTTGCTTAGGAGCCAAGCTGGCTCTTATTCCCTTATGCAATCAACTGAACGGGCTGCTCAAACTGTATTTTCATTTGCTTCTATTCCTTCAGTGAAGCAAAGTTGTTTTAATATTGTAGGTGGGGGTGTGCATGCACTTGTGTATGGAAGCAGCCATACATATAGGATGGAGATCTTTTGACGGAAATTTATACTTGCCCGAGAGCAAACCTGAACTGAGTGAGATCATTAAATCTACAGGCACTCTTTCATTTCTGCCTACAGTAAATATTAAAAAGAGCCATGTTAGACAGCAGTCTGCTGTGTTTTGAGTACCTTCCTGTGGTTTACTTCTGTTCTTCTGAACCCCTGAGCCTTTGTTCACCTGGACAACCTCCTGAGAAAGCCAACCAAAGTAAGGCAAAAACCTTGAAGTAGCCATTTAGCAACATTTGCATTTCAAAGCCACTTGATAACACTTAAGGTAGACTTTGGCTGTTGTGGTTTGTTTTATGGGAAGACAAGCTGAGCCACTCTATGTACACCGGCCACAATTTCTTTTCAGAGCCTATTCTGTTTGTGCTTTTTCTCGCTTAGTAGTGCCGATTTTCCATGTTTTCCTCAGAGCTTTGCTTGAGTGACATGCAATCACTCCCCTGGTTAGCTGCATGAAATGCAAGCATATGTAGGTAGCCTAGCATGGCAAGCCATGTGAAACAGCTGTCCAATTCTGCCAATTCTCATCACACATCATGGACTTTCTTTCTCTCTTTCTTTCTTTCTTTCTTTCTTTCTTTCTTTCTTTCTTTTTTTGGCATTTGGGAGAAGGCGAAACAAAGGCATGGCAAAAGTTACCACATGTGGGGTTTGCACACTATGTTAATAGCTCAGGTGTCTCATCTGACCATGTCAGTTTTGCAGACATCGTATTCAAAGGCAGTCTAACTGGAAATGAGCTGGTAACACCATGCCAGAGGGAACAGCTGATAACAGAAATGGCTTTGGATATGGTAGAAGCCACGTCAAGGCACATTCTTCAAAAGAGATGATGAAATTGCCTCACAGTGCCCATAACATCACAGATTTGTGTGAGAGAAGCCATGGCTACAGGAATGGATGGGTTTGAATGCGCTGATACCTTGTAAATTTTAACTCAATCTGTTGGTGACTCCGATTCTTCTCTGTTTGCATTAAACCATTTGCATTAAATCATCAACCCTACTGAACACGGGAAGCTAGAAATGGGAACCTTTTCCATACCCCTTTTTTTGGTATTATTTTTGACAGATGAAGAACTCTGAATTATTTCAAAGTTCACTACTTGCTCTGATCACCTTTTTGATGATGGAAATTTATCAAACTTTAAAGTGCTGTAAAGGTTTGTGTCATTATAACTGGCTATTTAATAAGCGTTACTTCCTATCCATTATTTTTTAAGAGTAAACAGTTAAACTGTCCCAAGACATCTATAGGACGGTATAGAAAAGTTTTGGACATGCACATGGTAGGCATGTCATGACCGGAGCCAGCTGGAGCCGGGGGTCAGACTAGATGGCCCAGAAGCCCCTTCTGACTTGCTCTGTTTCTATGTTTCTAAATAGACACACGGTAAAATATGATTCTAGATGAGCAATTGTCTTTTTCTACACTGGGAATGAGCAAAGTGTGAGCTGACTCTAGACAAGGAGAGGAGTTAAGCCAGGAGTGGGAGCCTCCTTCCAGGCCAAAGTCAAAATTCAGAGACTGGCTTAGGGGTAAACTTCTGGGACAGGAGGCAATGGGGTACAACCAAAGATGCACATTCCAAAAGAAGGAATGGGTGAGAAAGAGCCGTCCATGGGAACCTCAGAGTCTTGCTTCGTCTGGAATGTTCCCTCTTGCCCCTGCACACATGCATGTACATGCTGAAGTAGAAAAGGAGCCAGCATATTATAGCTTAAAGATCCAGCAATTATGAGTTAGGAGAAGCATGATGCCCTTTTAGAATGAGGGGACATGCACAAGAGCAGAGCAGTCAGCCACTGCTTGGTGGCTGGGGGAAAGGGGCCAGGGGAAGGTCCTCCTGCAGAAACCCAAAGGGCTAGACCTGGCCCCAAGTCTGAGGTTCCCCATGGTGTTGGAAAAGTACTCTTCCCTTGATTAATCTGGATCTATAGCTGCCTCTCAGAAGACCCTGGAACTGTTGCCTCAATTCACCCTGGTGGTCACCTCCATTTCTTCCATCTCCTACTTCTCTCTGATTGCTCAGAACTACTCAGCACATGAATGAAATGCAACCAAGTTTCTCATGGCTCATTCTGACATGAGCCTAACAATCTTACCACAAAATATCTTGCTGGATAATGACCAAATCTTGCCCTTCTTCACTAGAAGTGTGTTTGGAGCTGCGGGAAGTTGATATAAATAAGTGTGCCTGAGAGATCATACCACTGTATGCACAAATACCAATGAAGCTGCACACATCTCAAGAAACAGGCTGAAGCTAACAGAAGATCTTCAAGACAGAGGCCTGGAATTTTGTCCTTTAGAGAAAGTATTCTTGGAGTTTTTTTTCTCAGTTATCATGTTCAGCAAACTTACCTGGAAACTACCTTCACTGGAATCAGCAAGGAAAGCTGACCTTGGGAGGATCACACATTTTTATAAATGTGTTCCTAAGAGCTGAAGTTGTAATACAACTTGGAGATATTCATCCATTGAAAAGTAATATAGGTTCCCTTTGCTGTGTCTAGATTTTTAAGTGTAGGATGCACTTTAAACAGACATCAACTGTCTTATGGAAAAGGTGGTGGTGAGATGGGAACATGAGCTGATGAAGGAACGTCAGGACTCCTTTTGAACTCTTCCCCTGGCTCCTCTGTACCAAAAGAAGGAATGGGTGAGAAAGAGCCATCCGTGGGAACCTCAGGGCCTTGCTTCACCTGGAATGTCCCCTCTTGCCCCTGAATTAACTTGCTTCAACTGCCAAGTGGGGAATAACAAGGAGCAATGGAGACAGGAGCAGTCAGAGGGAACGACAGGGCCATGTACCATTTGGACCAGAGAGAGCAAAAGAGAGGCTACGTGGTATCAACTGTCCTGTGGGGAGTAAGAAAAGAATTGGAAGCAAGGGAAACAGGAACAGGCTGAGGAAACTTTGGGCCCTGTTCCCCCAAGAGATAAAGGGTGAAGTGGGGCAATTCCATCAGTCTTTCTGAAAATCTATTTTTCCTTCCTCCTCCTCCTCATTCCATTTTTTTTGTGTGTATTGTGCCTTTTTAGATTGCAAGCCTGTGGTCATATGCAATGCAATGTTAGTGCTCAATTATCTTGCAGTGTCATTAAGACCCTTTAGCACAATAGTTTTAGCTCTGATGCAGTGGGAATCCCACCCATGAACTAATGCTGTCGGTGCTATTAGAGGACTTTTATGCTAGCACAATGTAACTTGTGTTAGTAGTTGTGTCACATGGGATACTACCCTGGTCCTTAATGATCAGCAAAAGTGAGGGTTGTCTAATGTTTCTTAGGGCTCTCTGCAAAAGGTCGTCATTGTCTTTCACAAGCTGTCTGGAGCCCACAGAATGGGTACAGGAAACCTTTCAAGTACAGAGACTTTTTATGCAAAATGGCTTGCTGAATGAACTCATTCCCATGTCCAAGCAGATGCTTTTAGAAGTGCGTGCTGACCTCTGTGTATAGCTAGTGCTACAGAGGCTTGAGCGCTCGACCTGCACCAGATTTGGGTTCAACTCTCCATTTTGCTTTCTGAGTCTGAGCTGCCTGGCATGGCAGTTGTGTTGCGAAGGTAAATCAGGACAGCCCCATATATTTTGCTCCCTGAGGAAAAGATAGATGTGCAAATATGGTCAATATATTTTATAGCAAAAGCAGTAACAGCCTGTATCTAGCTGAGATGAGAATGATTTCGTTTTATGCTCTTTTATGACTGGCAAGTTTCTTGCAAGGTTGCTGGGGGGACCCCTCCTATTGGTTGTCCTTTTTTCTTTTAAGGATTATTGTGTGAAAGGCATTTCCTCCCCAAATCTTATAGCTGGAAAGTCAAGTATTGAGATTAAGTGTATCCTTCCTGTTTATTCCTTGCCAGATAAAGTTGAAGTTTCCATGGACCTTTGTTGCTTTCATCTCAGCACTGGCCCTATCCCATTCTTCTCTCCTACTGGTTCATGTCACCATCAGGGCCTGCAGGTCTATGCAGATGTTACCTGCAGCACCAGTAGACCCAAACTGCAGAGCAAACATGTAAGCTGCACACCGTAGGTACCTGTGTCGAGCTGCCTTCTAGACCCCCATCCCAGTTTTGGTCTACCGGTGGGCAGTGTCCCGTGTGACAAGGGTCCTGATGTAAATTAAATCGCACTAACGCGAGGGACCTCTAGCACAACCCCAACAGCGCTAGCTGGCACAATGGGATTTCCCAGGAAGCCCCCTGCCCCACCTAATGCCACTGCTTTGCACTAAAGGTCCCTTGCATTAGGAAAAGCTAAGTTACTCTTTTCCCACTGGGAGTAAGAGCCCTTTTCTCTGTCTAAACTTGCATGCAATTGTCCCTTTAAAACTTTCGCGGTAGCAGCAAAATGCTGAACACTGTGGGCTCTGGAAGGATGATCACTCCAAAATTTGACACTCTAATTGCAATGACAGTTACTTACAGGCTCAGCTTTCCCACCGAAACAAACGAAACACTTACACTTGGCTGGATATTGCCCTAAAGTCCCTACCAGACCAATTAAGGGATTTAGTGGGGAGACGTTTGGAGAGTTGCAGCCTGCTCCAGCTAGTGGGTGGTTTGGAAATAAAATAAATAGCATAGTAAGTAATGAAGGAGCAGCTGGGCTCTCAGGCTGATGGCTGGTTCAGCGTAAACCTCGGAAGGCATTCATGTCCTAAGTGTGAATGAAAGGAAGAAGAGGTGGCAAGGTCACAAAGCGACGTCAGGATTGCAGTGTTAGTTCAGTGTACCAATAATAATATTTAGCACTGTACAAACATCAACTAACAAATCCTCACAACACCCCCTGTGAGGTAGGGAGGCATTATTGTCCCCGCCGTACAGATGGAGAAACTGAGGCACAGGAAAGGTGAGTGCCTTGCCCACCAGTGCATATGAAAGTGTGGCAAAACCGTAATTCGGTGCTCCAGTTTCCACTGTCTAAGCTGAAACTAGTTACATGGTCATGCTGTACCTCTAGGTGTTAGGCCCAGGTGTGCCTTCTAAAAAGTAATATGTGGGATTGCTGCCTGTTAAACAACGTGTTTCTGATATTAATCACTCTACAGTTTTATTCCCCAAGCAATACAGTGTCCTTCCACTTTATCTTTTAGGTTCTGTCAAGTCCTCAAAGCTGTTCCCTGTTCTTAGAACGTGTTGCTTCGAGTTCGTTTCCCCCACGCTTTAAGCAGACGGTGTTGCAAATGAGTCTCGCTGGCAGGGGATCACAATGGCCATGGGCTTCTCCCTGGATTCTGACATTCTAAGATTGCAGAGAAGCTGCCGATGTGGGGTCCTCGTCACGCCCAGTGTCCGAAGGCTTTCTGCATTTGCCATCAGCTCAGCATCTGAGCAGGAGGCGTGAACCTCTGGTCAGGTGGCTAGTTGGTGGATTGGTGGATGTGGCAGCAACCTGAAAGAAGAAGGCCGAGGAGCACTCTCTCCAGCAGTACCTTCAGACCATCAGCCAGAGTCCCAGAATATAGCTGAATGTAGGAATTGTGCTAAGGGACTGGAACTTCATCATTGCCCAGCAAACAGCTAAAGCCAGATCCAGAGCTGGAGACTCATCTTCAAGATCCGACAACCCATCTGAGCACAGATCACAATTAACGATGGGTATTGGGAGAAAAACTGTCATCTAAGGGGTGGGAGGGGAGACAACCCTCCTAATGGGCATTCAGGGGAGGACATGTCCACTCAGACCCACCAAGTTGGGTTTCTTCTCACAAAGCTTCTTTTTCTCTCTGAGAACATCTGCTTAGCTTCATTTCTGTAAGCTGGATGTACCGTACAACATTGGTATCTGCAGGGGAACAGAATTAAAATGCACCTGCTTAGCATAGCCTCCCGCTTGAAATGTATAAGCAATTACTGTTCATGGAAAACCACATTCTGAAATTATGATTCCTTATTTCCGAAGGGATTTGCCCATTAAGGAAAAGTCTACATAATACCAAGGCCCGTAGCAGCTCTGTAAAGGGCACACAGCTTGCTTTGCAGCCTTTCAGAGGACTCCCGAATTACAGACAGCCTGCTGATGTCTGATGGGATGCAGTGGGAGCCACTGAGAACTGAGTTCATTGCAATCAGCAAAGGCCCCCAGCCCTTCACCTGCAGAAGCCTGCCCGTGACATGTTCCTGGACAAGCTCATGTAGGCGACACAACCAGGGCATGCTTACACAGACACAGAGGGCAGAAAGGAGGAGAGCCCACGATACGTCCTGCACAGAGCACGGGATCAGAGATGGCTCCTGGTTCCCATTAGAGTATGCCACTGAACACCATCAGGCTGTTCGCTTACTGCCTTCCTTGCTTGGACGCATCAGCCTGGTGGTTGTTGAACTTGAAGGGCTTTTCGGCTGGTTCAGCAAGGGCTCTTTAAACATTCTGCCCCCTACAAAATATGTCCAAACCCCCTGCCACTGAGGTTCATGGCAGTTGTGACCTCGGTCGCATGCCTCTTCCTTTCCTTTCCCATCGTCAGACAGACTGCGCTTACTATCACTTTACCTTCTTGGTGTAGGGTGTGAAGCTTAGGCCTGTGGACCAAATCCAGCCCTCGAAGGCTTCCTCAGGTGGCCATGTCCCCCCTCCAATCATCCGTCGCTGGGCGGCTTCCCAGCTTTTGCATCATCCCCCTTCCCACCTCCATGTCCTCCCCATTTTTGTGCAACTTTTCCCCATTCTTAAAAGGTTAAATACCTCTTCTAAGGCTGAGTTAATGGAAGTAAGACCTTCAAGCAAAACTAGGCTGGTATTTTTGGTATTTTTGGCCTGCCCCTTTGCCTCTCCCCTGCCCAAGACGGCCCCCAAGAGCTTCTCCATAATTGAATGCGGCCCTCATGCAGACGTGGTCTGGGCCTGGACCTGGGCCTGAACAATGCAGTAGCCCACCATGGCTAATCACCCACAACAGAATCAGGTTAGGAAATCACACAAGTGGGTTCAGCACAGAATGTGCCAACTGGAGACAATCCTTCTCATCAGCAAAACAAGCAAAGGAGCCAGTGATGCACAGCACCAATTCATTCGCATGGATAATTTCTGAAATTTGCTCCCTTTTCAAGAGCTGGGTGTGTGTGCACCGAACAGAAATGAGTTGAGTTTATGCCACAAGACACTCTTGCTGCTTGCTAGCCAGAGATCTCTCAGGCAAACCAATGCCTGAGCCTTTATGAGGGACAGCTGTAATCCTAAAATCAAAGCCTGGAAGATAAAGCGGGGTCCATCGACCCATCCCATCCATAGGCAGGCAATTCTTCAATGGAGCAATTTCTTGTACCCTTCTATACATGCTCCCAAACACACAGAGACACTTCCACTAACAGAGACACCTCGATTTCTACCGGCAGTGTGTTCCTTTTCTTACTTCCACTATACTTTTAAGTGATCTGCATTGCGTTCCTATAGTCCTGCAATTTCCACCCCTTCCTCCTTCTTTCCCACTGATTTGAGCTGAATCGAGCGACTGCACCATCTTGCTCATTCCTTTCATTCAAGAAGTGCTGCAATTCGAGCATATGGGAGCGTGGTTTGGCTCGCCCAGGAACGTGCACTGGGAAAGCTGCTGCTGGCATGGCCAGCGGTGGGGCTGCTGAGCCACAGGTCCCGGCCCCCACTTTGCCGTGAAGCTCCTCAGATGGCTGCAGGTCAGTCGCTGACACCAGGCGAGGTGGGCCGTTGTGGGCAGCCTGCCCAGCCCTAGCCCCGCCTTCTCGCTGCTGCACCACCCTGGCTGCTCTCGTAATGGTCCAAAAGAAGAAATGAGGAAATGTATGGTGGGTAACTGCTCTGTGTGTGTGTGTGTGTGCGCGTGTGTGCACGCGCGTGTGCATCACCCTGCCACAAACTTTAATGGTCTCCTGGCCTACTTCAAGCAGTCTTTAGTGAGGGAACTGCACAATTACCCCAGATTCCTCTCGGTTTGTTTTGTGGCTGAGGTTAGAGGGCAGGTGGGGGGAAGCAATTTGGGCAGGTTAGTTTTCAGTTCTGCAAGCCCTTGGCAGGAAAATAAATAGCTTTAAGAGATTTGCTTCGCCAGCTGCAGCGGGCTTTCAGAACAGAGGGACCTTTTTTGAGGTAAATTCCTGCTGGCCATTTAAGAAATTCTTTTGTTCAGAAAAGTAATTTTCCACTGGTTTGTCCTAATGCATTCTTATTAAATAGGTGAGACATTACATGTCTGTGATAGCTCAAGCATGAAAGGCTCACAAATAGCAAGAAGAGTAAATGCTACCATTTCACAGAGAGAAAAACTGGGGCAACAAAGCCGAGGACTGTACAATTAGTAATAGCAAGCATTTATATAACATGCTTGTGTTTAGGAGAAGAGGACAACTTGTGGCTGAGATACTGTTGGACTACAGCACTGCTAGGTAAGGCTGGTGAAACTGAAGGCCAGCAACATCCAGAGGGCCAGAAGTTATGCATCCCTGGATCGGATTGCTTTAGCCTCCTTATCTCAGTTACAGAAACATAGAAACAGAGTGAGTCAGAAGGGACCTCCTGGACCATCTAGTCCGACCCCCAGCTCCAGCCAGTTCCACTCATGATATGCCTACCATGTGTATGTCCAGCCTATCCTTGAATACCCTCACCAATGGGGCCTCAACCACCTCCCGTGGAAATTCATTCCATACCCTTGGGGTCCTAACCATCAGGAAGTACTTCCTGGCATTCACCCTAAATCTTGGTTCCCTGAGCTTTGCTCCATTGGAATGTGTCCTGCAGGGGGAAAAAGGCCATGACTCATTTCTGTGTGGCACCCCCTCACATACCTCTATAACCTGTTGTTTGTTCTTTAAGCCAAAACACATTTACTTCATTACCTCTCTCAACTCAAAACATATCAATACAGCCTTCAGAAATGATGGCCCACTTGTGTCCTTCCAGATATTTCTGGTGATAACTCCCATCAGCCCTTGCCAGCAATGGTCTGGTATCATGAGAATTCTAGGCCAGAGCATCACACGCTGCCCACCCCTGACCTACAATGATAGGGATCTATTCCAAGGAAGCTGTCAGAGTTTGAGTTCAACAATTTGGACACCTGGACGAGGCCAGAACAAGAATGAAGGCCAGGCAAGCAGGTGTCAAGTGTCCCCAAGATGAGACTGGAGAAAGCCTGGAGTGGAGGCAAACTTCTGCCATCGACTTTGCCCTGAGTCTCCAGGTTCCAAACAGCTATGGCTGGACCAGGCTGGAGCAGCATCTCCAACTCACAGGCCAAGTAGGAGGTGATGCGGAAGGCCCTCCTTAGCCAGAGCTCCACTCAGAGTAGGCAAGACCGGGCTAGAGGGACAAAAATATTTCTTGTAGACAGCAGTTGTCTGTGTGCCTTCCTTCTGCTACACGACAACTCCCATCGCCACAAAGACGCTTGTTGAAAATGTGATTTTGAGCCAACTGATTCTCAAAGCACACAAACTGGACTATTTATGTAGCACATGAAGAAAAGCACACCGTAGGCCATAAAACAAAAGCACAGATATGTGCAGTTCTGATAAAATAAGCAATGGCTGGAAGCACTGACCAGTACCTGAACCTAACACAGACCCCGGAGATGGCGGGATGTGGATAATTTTGTACTTCCCTCTAATTGGTTTTCATGCTGATCAGGCTAGGCATTTCCTGTCACTAATTGAGATGCAGAGCAGAGAGGGCAGCCTCTAATCGAGCGAGGCCAGACTGAAAGGCTGTATAAACATATGGATGGAGCAAGTATAGGGTGTGCAGCTGTTTGAGCCTCGTGGAAATGGCTTCAGGCGGCAGGCGGCCCAAACACGACAGATGGAAGCAGAAGGCCTGGTGGGACACTGAGAAAGCAGTGCGGGGCAACACGCCGTGCAGAAGACAGACGGGAGGGTGACCTTGAGCACGACCCAAAGGCACCATTGGTGGTTCCTGAGGGGTAGGTGCTTCCCACTCTTCTACCAATCAGTTGCTTGCTAGCATCAGTTTCAATAGCACAAATAACCTGCTGAAGAGTGGCGTGGTGAAGGGCACTTGGACTCAATTCCTCTGTGGACGAGGTGGCTGGTTTTGTCCAAAGGGACTCTTCAAATGGTCTTTTAGGGGATGTGCATGCAGCAAGGGTCACTTTATGGACAACCCTTGGTTTTGTCAGGGAGTGGGGGGTGAACCTAATATAGCACTAGATAGGAATTATGGGAGATGGTCTAACGCCCTGGGGGGCACCCAGTTGGGAAGGGCTCTAATATAGCGTCCTTCCCCTTTCTCTCTTTTTAAAAATGTTACTTTTGTCCCTTATGAGCTACATTCTGACATCATGTCATGGCATTTGCATAAAGTCTCAGTTTCTTTTCTGATGAATGGCGCTTCCTCCTGGTGCCCTCTCCCTCCTTTCACCCCCCCCCCCAAATAACATATTACACAGATCCTTAGGATTTGTAACTCACAGAGTATATAAGAAATATCAAGAACAAGAGAGTAAAAAGAATGACTGTGGATAACTACTCCTTTGTATCTTTCATACCTTTGTCAAAAGAGAGAAAGGAAAGATTCCGATTTTTTACTATTAAGGGCTGCCCACCAAAGCACCCACAAGGGGGGAGACTCATTTGTTACACTTCTTCATCACCCAATAGCGGAAACCCTCTGAACATCCCAGCAGGATTCCAGCGGGCAGCTCAGATCAACCCCTGGAGAGTGACCTTCGTGTGCGCCGTCAGCATGGTGTGAAGCTCCCTTGGCGGCTCCCCTCCCCTTCCGGAACCCCCTTCTTCCAGGGTCATGGCAGCTTCTTCAGAAAGTGATGCAGGAATGTGATGTCTGAGGGTACTGTTTGTGTGTACACGTGTGTGTATATAATACAGGTATCTGTACATGTACATGTTGTTTCAGGTTTTTAGGAGTTTGGAAATATGCCTCAGCTTTGTGTGGGCTTGGTCTTAAAAATGTGGTGCTGGTTCTCAAAAGGTTAAGGCATGTACCTAAGATGATGCAATTTTTTCAATTCCTGGCTATTATCATCATAGAATTGTGGGGCTGCATCACTAAAAGGGCTTGAAGATTAGCTGAAAGTTGGAAGAGTTTCACAGGCCAGAGTGGATTATAATTGATACATGTTGGAAAGTTTGAAAGACTGATAACTATTTGGGAAAAATGAGAGGCATCATGGCTCAGTGTATCATTACCAAGTCAAAAAGATTATCAAAATTGTCCTGCAAATCCATTAATCCTTCCTAAAACTACAGTTGGTCATCAAATACTGATATATATGCTTGGGTACAATTGAGAGCTTTTATACAACTATATTCTAACTTAGCTCAACACTTCCATTTTATTTGCATTGTGTAAAAGGACACAATCTATTAAGAGAGCCATTCTCAATTCTTGGGGGAGCATCTCCTGGACCGTGGGATTCTTAAGAGCCCCCCTCCAAGATCACAGATGCCGCTACCATGTCGGAAAGGGGACTTCCCGTCTTCCTGCAGCCTCTGCAGAAAGACTTGCACCCTGGCTGCTTCCTGGTATCACAAAAATGTCCTTGGAGAGGTCAGAAAGGTGGGTGGGAGGGGAGAAGCAAGGCCAAAGACAAGGAATCCCATGACCTCTGCAGCCCTAGTCTGCTTCCCACTGTGCTGTCTCAGAGGCCTTTCTCGCAAAAGCAAAGCACAGAAGATGGAAAAACTAAAATGACTCTCTTGTTCCTGCTGCCAAGCTCTCATAAGGGCACAATTAAGGTTTTGCTCCCAAATGTTAATAATTTTTAAAATCCTTGCTAGAAATGCAAGAAGGACTTATTTTGGTTGAACTCTGTCTTTTAAATGCTTTTTTTTTGTAAAGTGAGCCACAGCTTAGTGCTCTCATACAAAAGAATGAAGTTTCAGGGCCAGTTTCTGCCCTTTTCAAGTTTGCAGACAGGAGGGCTGAATAAGAGCCTCCACACGATGCCTTCAGGTGTGGTTGGGAGTCCTTCTTCTATCAAGGGCCATTTTCTCCCAGGAACGTCTCGCTCTCTCCACCTCCCTTGCTGCCAGCACAAGGACAGGTCACTCACGCTTTGCGAAGGACTTCTGCAATTAGGCCAAGGGACGTGGGTTGCGCCCTGCCCTGGAGAGCAGATGCTACGTGGACAGCATCAGATGCTCGTTCCGGGGAGTCAGCTTGTTTCAAAGAGCAGGCAGCAGCTTTTCCTTTCTGGTGGAGTCACCTGCAAATGCTCCCCTCTGTCTTTTGGAATGCTGACTTGCTTGCTCAGTGGGCTCTGGAGATAGCAGGTCTCTCCCCTGCCCCCCCCCCCCCGAATCTGGCCCCAGCCGTGTTGCTGTGCATGTCCCTGCTTGCACCAGCAGATGCCACTAGTGCAGGGAGGGGAAATGCACACTGCAAACATATCGCGTGAGTGAAGCCAAATGGTATGGGGAGAATATTTCACAGGATTGCAGTTCTGAGCAGCTGCTCTGCCTCACCTTTAGGAGCAAGTTCTGCCCTCTGTGTAGCTGACCGTTTTTACATTTTTAAGTCTTTTCCATTGCTTTTCAGCACACCGAGTGTCACCAAGAGTGGCATTAACAAACCTACAGAACACTTTGAGGGGCTATTCAGAGGCACAAAGCTGTTTGTGAATGTGACTGGCTGCAGTGCTGAAGATGAAGACCTTCAAGGCTCACCTGGACAAACAGAGAGAGGCCCCAAGGGGGAGAGCAAGCGGAGTCGCACTTCTGGGGCCCTCACCCCGTCTCGCACACACGGCAGCCTAACTGATCTTAAGAGCAAGCACTTCAGAAGGGCCCCCTAGAGGGATCCTACCAGAAAGGCAAGATTTTGTGCTTGGAGGCAGGCCATAGTATAGAGCAGTGGTACAAAACTGGACTTATTTTCAGACTTCCTGGCCCCCTTTTCGATATGTCAAAGGAGCAGCAGAGCACCCTACTAGGGGAGATGAGGCAAACTGGTCCCTCTTAGAAACCTTTGCTTTTTGTAAAGGGGACATCAAAGTGGCTTCCCCACCAGTACCTGCCGGCTGCCGAGACCGTGCTTCTTTCAAGTAGTAAAGTGCCTTGTCGTAGTCTCCAAGGTGGTAGAACGCTACACCTGACCGGTAGAGTGCCTTGAAGTTCTCTCCCTCTTTCTTCAGCACTTTCAGGCAGTATTCCTTGACTCGCTCATAATTCACCAGCTCAGCTTGAAGGAGGCAGGCTGCAAGAGAAGAGGAAAGAAGAACAAGCTGAGGAGACCGTGGGAGAGCGGCTCTTCCTCCGCCTTCTCCACTGGTGTGAGAAGGATGCAAACCCAGGTGAGACAATCATGAGTCAGGAAACGGCACAGCTGTTTTGCCCGAGTGTCAAATCCAGTTTTTCAGTCCCTAATCGCCACAGGAATAATCTATAATTAGATATTTCAGCAGAGATAAGCTGGGTGGTGTGTGCGCGTGTTTTCATTGTACAACTGCCTGGAATTCTCTATGGTCTGGGAAACAAACACTGCGAAAAAGGCGAGCAGCTTCGAACTGACAAAGGGAAGGAAACAGAATTAGAAGGCTGAACAGTGACAGCACTTTCAAAATTAATCAAAATAAAGGGAGGATTTGTTCAAAACAACAGAAATAAATTCTTGAATAATATGAGATTACCAAATATAAAGACATGCATCATACTCAACCTTGCTATTGTAGTTTCTATCTTTAAGGTGCCTATCTCTAGTTGAAAAACACTTTAGGCAGTTTCCCAGTTCAAAGCTCTGCACAGCCAAATCGGCTTCCTCCTTCTAATGTGAAGAGCCCTGCAAGCAGAACTTTGGTGTGTAAGCAGGCTGTTGAACTGGCACTATATCACCCACGGTAATTTTGTAATTCTGTTTTTAGTTGTGTTTGAATGCATTTGTTCATATTGTTTGAATCAAGTTTTATATAGTATGTGATTGTAAGTTTCCCTGACTCCCATTCTTGATTTGTAGAAAGGCAGAGTACAAATAAATAATGATGGGACCTGTAGTCCAGTGCATCTGCAGGTTGGGCAGTGCTGATCTAAAGTATGTTCATAATTTATCCCAGTTGCCTTTAAAGCCACCATGTGAGTTACTAGGTCAGTATTTATTATCCTCATGTTGCAGATGAGGAACAGAGACTGACTCCCTTAAGGCCGTCTGGAAAATCATGCAGAGAACGGAACTGATCTTCACTTAGGCTCTTAAACTGCAGTCCCATGAAGACTGGACAGAAAAAGGCCTACAAGCGTAGCTGGCTGGGGCAGGCTGGAAACGGTCAGTCTTTCTTCTGTCTAAACTCGCTTAAGATTGTACTTTTGGACGCTAAGAGCTACTTAGTAGCTGCTGAAAAGGCAAAGCTATTAAGGACTCAAAGGGGCCCTTTCCTAGCAGAAGGCCACAATCTGGTTTATTTTTGTTTTTTTGTTTTTTTGTGGACTTGGCTCCTTTGTGGGCCTCAGAGGTGGGATGCTCTTTAAAGGCAGCTTGTCCCACACTCAGTACTCCTGTTAAAAGGATCAGGGTGCAAGAGATGAGATTCTAAAGAGCTGCTCTAATTGGAGTAGAAAAAACTGCGGGTAGGCAGACAAATAATTTGACCTGGTATAAGGCAGTTTAATACACCTTCCTGTGATGTGACAGGGTGTGAGGCAAGGGATGTTTTTCTCCTTGTCCTTCACTAAAAATGAATCAGAGACTTTGCACCTTGCCACCAACTGAAGTATAGGCAGCACAGTAGGCGAGTGCCCTTGGGGCTGGCCCTGCCCCGCCCCGCCCCACAGCGAACTGCCCTGCTTCAGACAGTACACATGATTCGTGATGGCAGAGGCTTCAGGCAGCGACCTCTTCCGGCCAGGTCCTGCCCTCCCTCGTTCTGGAGAAGCCATCAGTGGCCACCTTCTCTGCACGCCGCGCGCCAAGCTGTCCTCTGCTGAGCCCCACTTCCAAGGGAGGCTTAGAGAGCGACAGTGAGGGAAAGGGCCTTCTCCAAAGTGGGCCCCCGATTCTGGCATGAGCTCCCCACTAAGGTCAGCCTGGAGTCCACACTGTCCTGGTTTCAGCACCAGGTTAGGAGCACCTTCTGTTCCCAGGCATTTAATGGTATGTATATGGTGGGGCTTGTCCCTTCATGTAACAGGTCTGCTTTTGATTGCTATTGAAATAGTTTTTGCCATTTTAAGCTTTTAAACATTTGATCTGTTGAGACGTTGTGCTGTGTTTACTTTGATGTGTGTTTTATTATGATATCTGTGTTTTGTAAATGGCTGCAAACTGCCTAGTGAACTCTCACTCTTGGGTGATACAGAAATGACTTAGATAAATAATGCAGCACTTGATGGGGGTGTTTCATTTGGCCGTAGGCCAGTCCTTGAGTGGCTCCCCAGTCGCCCCCCCCAGAACAGCCGAAGACGCATCTGTGGGGATGACCCACGCCAGACAAAGGCCTGCCAAGGAGTGTTTTGCAGCTTTAACAACTCCTTCTCTCGCATTCTTCACTACCCATTTAGCCCAGCCAGTCAAGCAGCCAGCAGAGAGGGAAGTGGCTGTCTCAACTAGTTAAATCTCAAAGAAATGAGCTTTACAGAAGAATGATTGTATCTCTGGTGGGCTTGGCTGGTGGAGTGTAATGTAAAACTCTAAGAAGGTTGCTGTCACCAAAGAACAGACAGTGTTTACTCACTAAGCAGTTCACAGATTACCTGCAAAAGCAGTTTTTTAAACATTCAGCATAATTCTCTCCTGCTTGTCAAATACCAAGTTCCCCTGCCTGGTTCTAACGGAGCCTGAAATGAGCGGGCCAAGGTTTTCTTCATTCCCTGCTCTATACTCGTTCTCCATCTCAACACCTTTTCTTTCAAAGCGTGAAATTCACACCAGAGCCTGTGACAGCTCTGAAACGGCTGTTCTATATTTATGTGTCGGATAACAGGTACAGTGAAGCGGGAGCAGCTGCCCTTTGTCCACTCGCATGCAGGAGCCACCCTTCCATGCAGGGCAGCTTTGGACGGTGCACCGAGGGATGTCTCTGCAATGTGAGGAAGACGATGCTGATGGGAGCACCCTGTACTGGCTCCGTGGAAGCCACGTCACCGCAAGGGAGAGCACAGGGCCATCGTGCTCAGCGTATTCCCACCCCAAGCGGGCATAGTCTTTGCAGCCATGCTGGGTCCTGGCTGGGATGTGTGCACACACCTCCGCAAACTCACACACATAGACACAGATGCGCTTGCAAACCTGAACTCACACGAAGACTCTCACTTGTGCACACACACGTGAGTGGGACAGAGAGCACGGGTACATGCGTACATCAGCACTGACTGACCGACTGAACACACACTTTAGGGTCTCCTGCCTTGCTGGGGGGACAGAGGAGCCTGTGGTTTGCACCCCACCCCAGAGACCCTTACCCAACTGCTGCTTTACAGTTGCTACCCATGTCCAAGCTGTGGGGGAAAAGAGAGGGAGGGAAGGAAGTCAGAGCTGATCACTGCTCCTTCGCCTGAGTGATCTGGGCTCCTTCGGAGCTACAGGGAAAGGAGAAGGCGGCCTTTTCCCTGCTCCTGCACTCTCAGCCCTCTGCCATTAGCACCACTGCATCATGGCTCCCTGGCACTGGTTTACAGCAGAGCTGGGTCCCAGGGGGCGCTCAGCCAGGCTTGGGGACTGGAAGCTGTGGACCTCTGGTCTGTACAGACTCACCGCGACTCCCGAGTTTCAGACAGAAGCTTCAAGGGGATGCTAGGACGGAACTTGGAACCTGCTGCACGAAAGCTCATGCTGTACCTCTGAGTCACACCCCTCCCCTTGTAGCTCGACGCATCAGGGGGAACCATCATTTAATCCTTGCAGCTTTGCTAGATCTTCGCCCAGGTGGCGCCCTCAGCATCACTGCGAAGGATTTTGTATGGCCAGACTGGTCGATTCCCTTTGAGTGTATGAGTTCATTCCTCAAACACGCACATCCTCCAGGGAGGAAGGAGTATGTCTCTAGGAAACATTACTGTGGATTTTGGGGAGCTGTTTTCACTCAACGGCGCTGACTGAAATGTTTCACTGACTGGGTTCACACAGCACCATGACATCCCACACACGGAGTCGAGAATGGGCTGAGTGTGGCTTGTGCATGAACTGCGGGTTTCTGCATTGTGTGTACCCGTGTTAATCACAGTCAGCTCACAGGTCACAGCCCAGTAACAAATCATGGGTTCTCTTGTGGGTTATTCATCATCAACAACTGCACAGTTCAATGACAAACCACACTCAACCCATACTCAGCCCTGAGTGTGGGTTGTTGTTGCGCTGAAATCCAGCCACTGTGTGTTAGTAGTGTACGGCAGGTGCACGTGGAAAAGCTGAATCACGCTCTTCTTTCAGCCTGTAGGCATCCTTTCCCCAGAGTTCCCCAGCAGGCAGTGGGAGTCCCATGTGCCTTGCAGTGGCCCCGTGTTTCTAAGAACAAAAGGCCTCCAAAGCATCTCTCCCCTAAGAGGTTTCCCCAGTTCTAGAAGCCCGCAAACAAAAAGGAATTTTCCCCGTCTCACAGATGACATGCTACTTAGCGCATCCCTGATCATATTTAGCATTAATTAGATCCGTTTACTATGCTGCTGCCTGGCAGCCTTGCTGTGATGAATGGGAAAATCAAAAGATAAGTGCCACTTTCCAGTGAGCAGCTGATTCATTTACACTTCGTACCAATTGACTAAAAGTAGGCTAGATTTGCCCTTCACTGTTAACAGAGCGTGGCATTAAATGCAGCACTATGAACCTGGTCCTCTTGGCTTTCAAGCAGAAATCCGTGTATGCAGCATTGGGTTTGCTCCTCCAAGATGCTGGGGACCAAAGAGGAGACATACCAATTAGGTGGCACATTCATTGCCATGTGGAATATTTTTCTTGGTGGTTCAAACAGAGACCATCCATCCTCAACTGCTGATATTGTGTTTGGCAGAATAGTTTTGAAATGGGAAGGGAGTCAAGTGCCCCTATTAGGGGGTTAGGGAGATAGGGCAGAAAAGGATGGGATAAATTGTCCTAGAGCCCTGAGAGCTCTCCTTAATTCTGGATTTTCATCTGGCCCTGGAAATCTTAGGAAGGGAACTGGCTGCTCCTGAGAGGACAGCTCTGTGCACACACCAGATCTGCTGCCAAACTAGCTGTAACCTGGTTGTCACCCAGGGCTTGATCCTGAGAGGTGCCAACCTGGCATTCTT